TGTCATTTATAACCGGGAACCGGTCGCATAGCGTTTTTAAATACTTTAAATCTATTGCTGAATACCAATATTCTGTTTTGTTTTGGATTGTTACTTTCGTACAAGTTCATAATTATGCTGTCAACTTTGTAGTACTACTACTACTACTAGTCTACTAGTACCCTAAATAATTTGCTCAGAATGTGAATTCGTTGGTTACTTCTGCAATATATAAACTTGCGATGACAGATGAATTTGTAGCGGCTAAGGTAGTGAAATAGCACCCAAATACTGAAATAGTGTAAATGGACGCCATATAGCACGGTGTGTACTTTCGGATTATTATAAATATAATTTATAAATTATATAATTATATAGCCTAGGCCTATCAATATCATGCTAGCTATTAGGGCAGTAACGAATACACTACTCACTAGGTCACGAAAACGATACGTATCACGATGTATGCATGCGAATACGAATATTTCACGAATACGAATACTCGCTTGTTGATGCTTAGTCCGAGATTCCTCTGACCAATGCCCACACCGACGATTTTGGTGTGGGTTAGTTATTTACTTACTTACTTACTTACTTACTTACTTACTTACTACATTACTTACTTACTTACTTACTTATTTACTTACTTACTAACCCACACCAAAACCACCAAAATCGTCGGTGTGGGCATTGGTCAGAGGAATCTCGGACTAGTTGATGCTGTGTGCGGCCGCCTAAGTGTAAGTGTGTATAATGCCATGTGTGTGTGTGCGTGCGTGTGCGTGCGTGCGTGCGTGCGTGTGCGCGTACATGTGTTTTCGTTTGTGTGCGTGTGCGTGCGCGTGTGTGTGTGTGTGTGTGTGTGTATGTTTGTGTTGTCCGCTATGCCTCCGGACAACTTTCGTCCGTTCGCGAACAACTTTTAGCGGATGCTACACGCTCGCGATCGATCGAGCCCCGTACTTCAATCAAAGGCGCTGCTGCCATGCACATGGCTGGAAAAACGCGGCATATGGCTGTGTAAGATTTTCGTGACATTACTGTACACGTGTATATCACATGTCAACAAGAAAACTGCGGTATTGAGCTGGTATGATACGGTATGATAATTCTAAAATATTACATCGCGATAATATCGCAATACTGGTATACCGCTGCAACCCTAGTATCCGTCCCTTCACACACGCTCGATATATGGGGTGAGTTACACGTGGTAGTAAGATACACGTCTCGGCCTTCTCGACGTGTGAGAAGGGACGGGTACCAGTCTAGGTGCATTCACGGGGAAAGCTGCAAACAACATTCAGAATTCGAGCAATATCGGCATCGAATACGCGAGTGTATCGTTACAGCCCTACTAGCTATAATATATATATATATATTATAGGCGCTATAGGTGTACTGTTGTACAGCTTCACAGCCCGGGCCCTTTTCAGCCTCAGGCTAGGACCCGAGCTGCGTTGCACTAATTGACACACACTGCTCTTGACACGTTGTATGTGCCACGCAAGCCATGGCTTATTTTTAACTAATGCGAAATTCTTCAGTGTTCTTATGCTATTCGATGACTAAACAGATTCAAGCGGGTGTAACGGCAATCTTTGATTTAGATTTACGAACACCTGCACAATGCATTTCTATATTTTTGCAGGTTACTGCGCAGAACCGGGCTAACTGCAAATGTTTCTTGAACGGAAATGAAATCCGGGTCCCGGGCTTTATGATTCCGTACGGGGGCAAACCACCGAGGTTGTGCAATCCAGCGAATTGCAACTGTCCACCCGACGCTACGATTGTACAAGAAATACCGTGTCCTTTCATCAGCATGAATACGACTGTCTAGATTACTGCGTACGCAACCCTTGCGGGGTGCATTGTGGATCAGAATAGTATCAACAATAAAACAACAAGCCTATTAAATAACCTATATTATTCCTCTAGCCTAATTCTGAGCGATAGACCACGTGGTCTATTACTTTAAACTAAATGAATCCCTCGTGATACTCAATGGTAACGTGGTACTCAATTTTTTCTCATTCATGTCCATCAATGAATCTGGCGAGAGCATACGCCAGCGATGGTATACGCTACTTAGTTGGAATATGTTTGCATTTTTGCCTCAAAACACATATAGCTGGTTTGTACTTCACATTGATTGTGTTCATGGATGCTATACATGTAGATATTTATACTAAATTAATCATTGCTATACAATTAATTTGGTTATGATGCATGAATGCATTATGACCACGGTGAAAATGAGCAATTTCTGTTTATTGCAATTCGTAACTCGACATTAATAAACTGAGAGAAATGATAACAAGTGTGCGCATTCCGGAATCAGAAAACCTATATACAGTAACCGTCGAAATTCTTTTAGTTATGCCAAGCAGGTGTATATATGAAAAGGTATTGGAGGATTATGGATTATAATTAAACTATCTATGCAAGTTAGTCATCTACTAGAGATTGGTTACTTTTGTACACGTACAACTAATTGGCTGAAAGCTGCAAATAAACTCATACAACTTACGTGACAATTTTTATTTTATGTTCTTGAAAATTCATCTGATAGCCAAGTGACTTATTACTAAAATAAGGTAATGGGCTAAGAATATCTGCACACTCGAATATCTCGCTAGGTCTGCACGCGCATGCAAAAAATATCTCCCAACTGCTGAGTGGGAAGCCCGAATAAGTGCGCCCGCGGTGAGTGAGTAAGTGTGTGTGTGTGTGTGTGTGTGTGTGTGTGTGTGTCCGTGTGTACAGTGCAGCCGCGTGAGGAATGGCGGCAGCCAGTGTTTGTTGCAGATAAGCATTTGAACGTAATTTACAGGAAACTGTCGGCAATAATATTAATAGGTGAACGGGAGTATAGAAACACTAATAATTTGGTAGTAAATAGATTTTTATATATATATAA